ATTTTTTATTTTGATAATTAGATTCAATAATTATATTACAATAAACAATTAAATAATTTATATTTCTCGAGACACTTAATGGACGAACATCACTTTTAATTTCTTCTATATTTTTAATAGATGTTTTTAAAGCGTTAGGAATGTCAGAATTTTGATATGTTAAATTAATTTTTTCATTGTTTATTATTTTATATAAGGAAAAATTATCAAATAAATTATTTATATTATAATTTTTCAAACCTAATAGTTTTTTTAAATTTTCGTTAAAATCAATATAAAAAACACCTCTTAACAAATAATATTCTACTTTCTTTTCATTGTCAGGTATTGCTTTTTTATTTGTTGGTTTTATTTTTTCATATTCTTCTTTACTTATTAAAACATCATCATCATCTAAATTATACCAAAATTTTGTTGGCATATAAAAATTTCCATTTTTAATTTTATAGATATTTTTTGTACTATCAAAATCAAATACAATATTATTAATTCTCCATTCTAAACCAGAACTGTATTCTCCATAATTACCAATTACCTTTGTTGAAGGCATTTTGAATGTTTTTGGATATCTTTTTTTAATAGTATTTTCAATGTTTCCATTAATTTTAGTTATAATTTCTTTTATATGGTCTTTCCAATGAATATCTTTGTTATGTAATATTTCGTAATTTTCAGTTATATTTTCTCCTAATGAATAATTTGAATCAAACTGCACAACAAATTTTGTAATATTGCTTAATCTATGTTTATCGTGCTCAACAATATCATTTTTTATGTCACCATAAAATGATTCTGGTACCCATTTGAAATTATAAGTAAGAACTAAATTTTCTAAAGGTTCTTTTAAATCAAGCCTTTTAGGAATAATTAGCTCAGCTAAAGCACACTCTTGTGGTTGTTTAAAAAATATGGATGGATTATAATCTACTTCTACAGTACATTCGTTATTATTATTAGTTAAATAAAAGTATTTATCGTCACTTTCAAAATAATTCATTTTTTAATCAATTTTTATTAATTCATTAGAGTAATAAGAACCTCTTATAATTACACCTTTTTTGTCTTTTACTTTATATTTATAATAAGGTGATGTATAAAATATTTTATGTATTATAAATATTTCATTGCTATAATTAGGAATATATCCTTTTTGAAATATATTTCTCATTAATTGTATTCTCACAAAATCACCAATTTTGTAATTTTGATTCTCTTGTGAAACTTTTATTTTGTATAAATTATTATATACTATTTTTTCATTATTTTTATTAACATCAACTGGTTTATATTTTGTTCTGCTGTGTGTCGTGTTGTTATAGTTATTAATAATATTTTTTAATACATTAATAAAATTTTTTGTTTTGTTATAATACATATATTTGTATAGTTTAACTTTAATTGTTTGATTCCAGCGTTCAACTACTCTAGCTTTAGATGAATCTTTTAATACTAAATGTTTTATTTTTCTCCACTTTAAATATTTTTTTAATTGTTTATTAGTAAATTCAAGACCAGCATCAGTAGATAATATACTAGGTTTGCGTTTAGATAATTTAAATATTTTAATAAAAGCTGCTTTTACAGTTATAGCAGTTTTATTTTTAAGTGGAATTCCCCATCCAAATTTTGATAAATTATCTATTACCATAAGTACATATCTATAATTCTTATTTATTGTAGGATATTTAATTTCAATTAAGTCTGCCTGCCAATTATGATCAATATAACGAGAAACAATTGAATTTCTTTTAAATTTATGTTTTACTGGTCGATGAATTCCATATACATTTTGTTTTGTTAACCATCTTTTAATTTCATTATATGTTATAAATGGATATTCTTCTTTAATTACTTTATATAAATTATCAATTCCACTAAAACTTGATGATTTTGTAATATTATAGTATGCTTCAGATATAGTTTTATTAATATTTTTTCCATTCAAATGATTTTGAGACATTAGGTAACTTATAATTTGGCTTTTCTAAATTTCTTAAGTTGTAATTACGTTTAGCTGTAAATAATTGTTTTTTAATTAACGATAAAACATTAGGTTTAATATTTAATTTATTTTGACCAAGTTTATTCTTATTTTTGAAAGTAGTAAATGCTTTTCTTCTTAAAATTTTTGGAGTTACATAATCATCATCATTATCTTCTATTTTTTGAGGGATTCTATTTATGGGAACATTATCTTCAAATACATTATTTGTTACATTAATATAATCTTTGTCTTCAATATTGTTAAATTTCCTTTTAAATATCAAAAATCTTCTTAAAGAATCAGCATATAATTTAGCTTTGTCACGCTCTGTATAATTTGTGTTTAAAATTAAATGTATTTCTTTGTCCAAGTCATTTAATCGTAATAAATTTGGTTCAGTTTGTAATTTTTGAACATTTAAAAACTCTGAAATTTTATTATTGGAATTATTATCATTCATTAATTTAAGTTTTTTAAAACTCATTTTACGTATATTTTTCTCTGACTTTATTTATGATTTTTTTACCAAAATGACTAATTAAATGAGATATTGCTTGTTGAACAAGTATTTTTAAAAAGATATTGCCACCTTTTTGTATTAAAATATTTTTTCTTTTAATTATAGGAGATTTTATAGAAAGTTGTCGCAATTTATTTTTATAAATTTTAAGTTTATTGAAATCACAAGTTTTTAATGGTATATTTCCAAGTAAACAATTTTTAGCTATTTCTGATATTGCATTTATAATACAATTATTAGCTTGTTTTAATAATTGTTTTCGATCTTTTTTTGTTTTTGCTGTACTTAATTTTTTTAAATATGAAACACAACGTAAAATATTTTTTAATTTATTTGTTTTTAATGTAGACGCATTGGTTTTCATTTTCATGAAAAATGTTAGATCTAACTCTTATATTATCAGGTGTGTTTTGGTCAAAATCCAATAATAAATAACTGAAAGGTTTGTTTTTTGTTGCATCAATATAAGAGTCATATATAAACTTTGGATTACTGTTATCAATTTGATTACTTAATATTTTGACAGAAAGTGTTTCCCTTGGATTACTCATTAAAATAACATATGTGGAATTAGTTGAAATATCACGCATATATTTATTTTTAGGAAATAAATTTTGTATTAACAATATAACTGTTATATTTTTATGATGTGATAATTTAGTAAATAAATCACTTATAAATAAATCATTGCCTACAGTATGCATGTTATCATCAATTATTAATAAATTATTTTCGTTAGAATCAAACATTTCAATATTGCTTTTATCAAAAGTATTAACTTTTTTAATATTTATTCCATGAACATTGTTTATTATAGGAAATCCTTGTCCAGAATAATATACAATTTTGTCAAAATAAAATCCAAATAATTCATACATGTTATTTAACATTTTACAAACAAATTCAGTTTTTCCCGAACCCGATGGACCATAGATAATAAATCTTCTCGGGTGTTTAAATGTTGCATCATATGTTGCCATTACAAATTTTAAAATATTAATATTTAGTATTAATTAATATTACACTATATATTTATTAATGTCCTTGAATTTAGTTATAAATAAAGAAACTTTTTAAAATTTTGTTTTAGTTAATATTCGTTTATTATGGCTTTTCTTTCACCAAGTTTCAATGATTTAAAAATTATTATATGTTCTAATGGTTTCAAAATTGATTGTGAATTTATTTTAAGAGAAATTGGATTTTGTTTTAACAATATAAGTGGAAGTGTACCATTTAATTGTCGTATAAATCGAAATAAAATTGATGTTTCAAATCAATATTTAATTGACTACCTTGAAAATGAATTTCATGGATTAAAATTCAACAAAAAGTTTGAGTATGGATTATCAGCAAGTGAATTTGTTCCTGTTATTAAAGCAATATATCATTTAAATTCCAATACTAAAGCAAAGTATATTGGAATAACTAAAAATGATGAAGGGATTAAAGGACTATTATATAAAGCAGGATTTGGTCATTTAATTATTGAAATTGATAACATTGATGTTCTCAAAATTTGTGATAAAACTATTCCTACTGATGGAGAGTTAATGGTTATTCAACAAAATGATATAAGTATTCAACCTTGTAATATTCATGATAGACTTAAATCTATCTATAAACCTCTCTGCGCAAAAACTAAAGCTGAATATTTGTATAAATTATTAAACGACAATAAATCGGATTTAACTCAAGGCCAAGTTTTATATTAATATAAATAGTTGAAAAATTTTATTTTAAATCATTAATAATGAAGCCATTGAATAATGATATACCTTCTTTGAATAATCTTTATAAATCAGATAGTGTTAAACAAACTATATATAGTATTTTAAGTGAAGAATTTGACTACGTTTTTGATTCTCTATTAAATGATGCTAAATGCATCAAATCATTATTAGTTAAAGAAATAATTCGCAATAAAATTGACATTAAAGAAATGTATATTCAATATGGATTCCCTATGGAAAACTTGAAACAATTAAAAATTATATTGGATACAATTAAAGAATGGAAGACTAATGAAGATTGTGACAATGTATTTACCAATAATTGGGATAATGAGGTATATAATTCTAAAACTAATACTAATAACAACTAATTTTTAGTATTTTATAGGAATAAAAGAATTGTTCAAATAATCATCATTTGTTGGCACATATTATAATCAACTAGAAAAAACTTATTTTAATATTATTTGTACTGTACTTAATTTAATTAATAATTAAAAAATAAAAATGTTTTAATTTAATTTTTTTATTTTTTAAAATAAAATAATTACAATATTGAAAATATATATATATAAAATTATATAATGATATATTTTTTTTAATAAATTGGATATATATAGTTTATTTAAAATTTAACAATGATTAAATAATAGTATAAACATTTTAATCTATTAAATATATAAAATAAAAATAGTTTTAAAAATTAAAATTAATAAACATTATAATAAAATAAAAATATTAATAATATTTAAAATAAAATGTATTATTTTCCAGTAGAACCAAATCCTTTGTCAGCTCTTTGTGTTTGTTTAAAAGTTGCATTAAACATTGTCACTTTTTTCAATGGTAATATAATAATTTGTGCAATTTTATCTCCATGAATATAGGCAAAATTATTAATGCTATTATTAATCAATAGCACTTTTATTTCACCAGTATAATCTGAATCGATGACACCAGCTCCTATATCTATACCCTTTAATGCCATTGAACTTCGTGCACATATTTGCCCATAACATCCATTCGGAATTTGCATTTTTACACCAGTTGAAATTAATTTTCTTTCATTTTGTTGCAATACTCCTACATCATTTGCATACAGATCATAACCTGCACTCTGTTCACTTCCTTTTGTTGGTATCTTTCCATCATTTATTAAGTTAATTTTCAATTGTTCATCTAAACAAAAAATAATGTTTATAATATTTAAGATTAACAACTAAATATATAATCTTACCATTCGGTACAATACATTTTTGAAGTGAAGATATACATTCAAATGATCGTTCATTATAATATTTAATATCTGCAACTATTGCATTGGCTAATAAAAGATCTTTTCTAAACATGTATTTGTCTAAAACATTTTCGTTAATTATTTCTATCTTAATATAAGTATCATTATTATCAACCCAAAAGCAACGCATAATTAAATTTACATTTTTTAATTCAATTATATCAAAAAATTTTCCAGCTGAAAATTTTGGTATATCATAATTGTTTTTAATCTTAATAATACATCTATTCATTGGCTCAATTATATAATCAAACAAAGGTATTATATTAATAATACCAAAAGATGACAATTTAATTAAACTTTTTTGAATATTATCTTGGGTAATGGGTAGAGATTTTTCAGTTATATAGGCTCCATTAATTATGTTATTAGAAATTTTTGCCACAGAATTCATATTTAATAACTGGTTTAATTGTTGTGGAGAAGTTATTTTTTTAATAACTATTTTGCTAAATTTTTCTAGAGATAATGGGGGAGTTGATGATGATGATGATGATGATGTTGATGCTATCTGATCGTTTAAATGAATTGATGAATTTTGAGATGTATCTATAAAAATTATAAATAAGATTTATAATGACCAAACGGAAGACAATTCACACCATCATCTAAAATGAATGATTTGTCGTCAAAAGGTTGTAATACAAATTTTTGTAATTGAACAGATTTCAAATTATGATTTTTAGATTCAATTTTGTTCATCGTCGTATTAAAATATTTTTCTTCATTTAAAACATTTATGTAATGATTATGTGTCATATAATTATTTATAATATATTTTTTTACACCTTTAGCCACACGTTTATTCATAACTTCATCATATTTAATAGAATATAATTTACTTTTTAATCCAATAAATTCATTTACTGGTTTTTCTCCATATTCTGATTTTAAATATCCAATCATTTTTTGATGTTTGTCATTATATAAACTATGATTTTTTGAAAAATTTGAGTAATCCATTATAGGTGAGAAATATTTTTTCAAATCTTCATAATAGTCGTTAGTTTTAATTTCATAAACTAAACTGTCCGTATCTGTATATAATAATTTTATTTTATTATTATAATGATTTTTAAAAACTTTGTAATGCATAGAATACATGTAATATTTAGAAAGTTCTAAAACGGAAAATCCAATAAATATTGGTTTATCTAAAGTTACATTTGTCTTATTCATTTTAATCAAAGCAGAGTTCTCAGTTAGAATCTGTGCAGTATTAAAATTTAATTTTTGAATATATTTATTTGCTTGTTTCCAATTTAAAGCAAATTTTATATCTATATGTTTTCTTTTGTCTTCAATACTTTTACCAAATACAGAATTATTCATTAATTTATACAAATCTTTTTCAAAATCATTTGTTGCAATTTTTCTAAGATTTGTATTTATTGATATATAAGATTTTAAAAAATCGCTTTGATAAAACCCTATTCCGCGGTGAATTTTTTTATTTTTAATCCTAATTCCAAATACAGTTTTAAATTTTTAAAATGAATAATATATTTAGTTTTATCATAAAATGTTAATAATAATTTTTCCGTAGCTGATCGATTATATCCATACATTTTAAGATCTTTCAATAAATTGTGTTGATAATCACTTAATAAATTGTTTGTAATTTTTAATTTTTCTGGAGCAAGTGGAAAATCATGTTTGTCATGTAAATTTGAAGGATATTCTAAGTCACATTCTAAAATATATCCTTTGTCACCATTTGTTTCAATAGTATTCCAATTTATACTGTTAAGAGTAGTAATGTCAACCCAATTAAAATTTTTTAAAGGTAATTTTTCGCTAAGACTTTTACCATATAGATTATTTACATCTAAATGAGTTAAAAAGATAGTGTCGTTTTTATCATCAAAATTTTTACAATATTTATTATTAGCAATTGAATGTCTTTTAAAGACATTACAAATTCCTCCTCTTATTCCTTGTTCAATAAACATGTACATGTCAATATCTTGCATTAGTTCAATTTCTATTTTTGTTAATTTTAAAGCGGCGGCCCACGCCAAACCAGGTATAGAATAAAAATGACAAGGTTCAAGTTCATATTTATCAAATATCATTTTTCTAAAAGTTTGAAAAATATCACATAGTAAAGCTGTATCCAATAAACAATAGAAATCATGATATTCTCCCAAATTTTTAATTTTCATTATTTTCCAAATTTTTTTAGCAAAATTGTAATCTTCAACACTGATTGATGTATCATTTAATTTAGAATAAAATTTTTCAATTGTTGGTAACTCTGGTTCATCAAATTTTTCCCAACTATCCATGTATTCATATGGATATACTCCTTTTTTAAATAACATTCCAATAAAGTCATTATTAATTTTATTACAAAATATTTGTTTAGTTATCGAAAAATTATTATTTGAAGATTTTAAATTTTTTACTAATACATCTAAACTTTCACTTAAAAATTGGCACGAATCAAGTACTTTTATATTATCCAAAGATATTGAAATAAATTTTTCTATAGATTGTGGTATAACAGTACAGCTTTTAAAATAATTTGATTGTAAACTTGCTATTATAAAATGCGAGTCGTAATTTTTTAAATTGTGAAAAAATAAAGGTATTTTATAAGGTAGTTTGAATCTTATGTTACACATTTTATGAGCAGATCCTCTATATTTTCCAGTTAAATGATCATGATCATAAACCTTATCTTCAGGTTTAATATAGTTTTTACATAAAAAACAAATAGTTGATAAATGATGTTCTTTTAATTCAGAATCAGTAATTATCATTGAATTTTCTTGAACTAATTCAGCATTTATTTGTGTTGAAATTAAAGATAATGTATTTAAAAAATGATTCATACAGTTTTTTCCTCTGTAAACTTTATAAAAGTAAATTTCATTTTGATTTTTTATAACAATAATAGAGTAACCACAAGCGACATGTTGAGCTGTTTGTTTAGTTTTTTTATTAAGTTGCGATTTTTCTTTTACTAATAAAGATTCAAAATCAGCATACATTACATATGGAAATTTATACATATACTCATAGTGTTCAAATTTCATAGTTGGTTTTTTTGACATTTTGACAGTAAGAGGTTTAAAGTGTAAACAATTTTTATAATGTTCGTTTAATTTAATTTTAGTTAAAAATCCATTTAAGCAATTAGAACAGAAATGTCGATAATTTGCTTGCATACTTCCACACAGTCTATTGAAATTTTTAATATAATAGAAATGATTATTATACAACAATAATTTAATAGAATGCTTTGCTTTATGTTTTGATATATAAAGTGGTACAATTGATTCTTCATAAGTTGAAATTTTTTCCCAAGTATAAATATTTATACGAATATTTAGATGTTTATTATTAATTTCAAATTTTTTAATAGATTTTAAATTTAATGGGAATTTTAAATTTTTCAAATTTATATATTTTAAAAATGGTTTAAGTTGAGATAAACGTTCTAAATGAGGACTTTTTTTATTATTAAACTTATAATAATTATTAGCAATAAATCCTAATACAGACCAAATAAAACATTTTTTATCATTAGTTTTTATTGAAATAATTGCACGTTTTCTTAACACATGATCAGGTAGTTTAGTAGTTTCACAACCCCCTTTTAGTGGATTGTATTTAGCTATTCGTACATCTAATCTGTCTATTTCATTTATTATCCAACCGCTACCAAGTGATTCAAATGTATTAATTTTATTATCAAAATAATTTATTAGTCGATTTATTATATATTTATTTTTATAATATTTATTTATTATAAAATTATCACTTGTAAAATAACTTATTGTATAACTTCTAACGCCAGCAGTTTCTTTATAAAATGTACATTGCAAACAAAATTGAATTTTTGTTGATACAAATTTTTCCAAGACATAATCAATTAATCTTTTAATATCATATTGATATTTTAAGAAAAAGTCTTCACTGTTTTTGTAATCTTCAACTGGATATAGTTCATATTGTTGAAGAAAATGTTTGAAAGCATGTTTTGATAATTTGAAGTTTAGATTTTCTGGTAATTTTAGTTTACTTATATTTCCTGATCCAGTTTGGGTAAATTCTATTAATTTATGTTTAATAAACGAAAACATAGTATAAAATAGAATGCCACAAAGTAAACAATTTATCGGCATTGTAATATTTGAGTTTTTAAAACAATTATCATAATGTTTCCTCACTTCGCTATAATGACTTATTTCTGATAAACATATTTGACATCTAGTACTTGATATGATTTTATTATGGTGAGCAAGTCTTTGATGATGTATATATAACCGATGTGAAGAAAAACTTTCATTACAGTCATTGCAATTGAATTGTATAGTTGACTCCTCCATAATGTCTAAATAAAATGAAAATAAAAATAATTAATTTTTACTTAATTATACTAAATATTTTTATAATATTTAGTTGTTTTCAATATATTTATAAAATATTAGATGAAATTAAATCTCAAAAGCAGATAGATTATATAATAAAAGATGAAATTGATAATTGTTATTTATCAGTTCATACAATAATTAATTTAAATGCATCTATATTATGGAATGAAACCGAATCAAAGTTTATTTGGCAGAGCAAATTTCCAGACAATAATATACATTCATATATCTCAAGTTACACGAAACCATATTTACTAGAACTAATTCAAAACAGTACAAAAGATTGTATATGCTGTAATTAAAATTTATTTTTTAAAAAACTATATTTTTTATTTAAAACTATTTTATTATTGTAACACTATATAATTTAAAATTTTTATTAAATTAAATAATTTTTAAAAATTAAATACATTTAGTAATATATTAATTATTATAAAAAATTAATACTTTGTTATAAATATATTTTTTAATTAGTTATCTGTACTATTTTAATAACTTGTAAAAAATGAATTTTGATATTTATAAATAATAAACAAAATATAAATTTTAAATTTTATAATAAAATGCAAATTAATATTAATATATTAATTAATAATATAAAATCGTCAGCAACATCGTGCTACTACAATATAAAAATAATTAATAACATAATAGTAGCACGATTGATGTTACTGTCTCCAATAGACAAATTTTATTATAGCCAAACAGTTAAAATAAAAATATATTAATAATATTAATATAATTAATAATATAAATATTTTTAGTAATATTAATATATTTAATAATATTAATATATTTAATAATATTAATATATTTAATAATATTAATATATTTAATAATTTTAATATATTTAATAATTTGAATAATATATACGGTTAACGGTACCAAACGGTTAAAATAAAAATATTTTAATAATATTAATATAATAAATTATATTAATATAATTAATAATATAAATATTTTTAGTAATATTAATATATTTAATAATATTAATATATTTAATAATATTGTAATACCTGATACTATATCACAGTAAATTTATTAATAATAATAATTAAAATTTCAAATAATAAATTAAATTAAATATAACTCACCGGTACACATGTACCTAAAATTGTATATGTGGCCTAATTTGCTAACATATGTTAGCCTGAATTAGGACCACCACTGACTAGAAAAACACATATTAAATATATTTACGTAGGCCTTGATTAGTGTTATCAAGATTTAAAATATCACAATGATATATCACAGATAAGATAAAAAAATAAACAATTAAAAAATGTATAATATATAGATATATAACAACAATTATCACATTTTTTTTGTGTCACATAATCGGTGATAGTCTGGCCATTAGTGACCAGATTTTCACCGGGATAATTTTAAAAATTAGGCCTAATATTGGCCTAACATTATTACATTATAATAAATAAATATTAGTATTTAAATAAATAATTAAAATTAAATAAATTATCACAAAAAAAAATATCACAATTTATAAAACATTAGAAACAAATATAATAACAAAAATATACAATATTGATATCTGATCAGTGACCGACAACCACTGACTAGATTTAAATAAAACTTTAGATTTAGTTAGACAAAAATAAGGCCTAACTGAATATACTGACCAGATCACTATCACAGATAAGTAATACTGATTAGATAATAAAAACATCACTAAATAAATAATACTTACAGTATGACAATAAAAATTAATATACAAATAAGTTACACTTACCTTGTATTTTATACATACTGACCACAGATATAGGATGACCAGATGACCCGAAATTGACCTAAACAAAAATGATTAGTAAACAAAAAATTAAAATAATTTATTATCTTAAAATCTAAAATTTTGTAAAAAAATACTTACACAGAAAAAAATATTGTCGAAAAAACAAAAATAAACTAAAAAATACTTACCTCACAAAAAATTAGCACTAAATTAGTTATTAAAAAAAAATTGATGAATTTTACAAAAAAAGTAATTTTTAATAATTATCTAAAATGAACTCATTTCACAGGAAGTGAAAATGGTATATAAGTCGGAGTCAGTTGTATGTAAAAATCACTTCAGTTTGAAGAGTTGTAATAACTTTTTAATTATTAATAAAACTTACCTTTTAATACTTTACGTAATTTTTGGACGTGATTGATTAACGTAAGTTTTTTTTTAAGTAGTAGTACCGTAGGTATTGGCCACCGTAGTCGGCGGTAGTCGACTACGGGGGCCAATAGACACCCTCCCGGTTAGACCGGCATAGTGAACCCCCCTCCCCCCTTCGGACGTGTTTGTGATGGACCGGCAGACATAAACCTGTGATGGCTCTGGTGGCGAAAAGGACGGTTTGGTGGCGCTGATTGGGACCAGGACGTGTCAATATATGGTGCCAAAAAGTACCAAGCTCCGTCGATTTATAACAATGGTGGCTGGAGTGGGATCGAAGTACGACCCGACCCCACTCCATGGCTAGCTTTAGTGTCGACTGCGAGTGTGATCTTGCGGGTGGCATTAATGCTTAAATTTTTTCAGAAAATGGCCGATAACACAACTGCGTTTGCTGATTCAACGAACGACTTTATGGCGTGGATGACAGAAGTGCAAACAGGAGAGATCTTTGAGGACGAATGGACGCCGCTGACTATTAATGAGGACAACATGACGCCAATACAACTGCCGAGAGCCGATTTGGAAACTTTTTCTTTTGGAGTTGCTGTTTCTATCATCTATCCCGCCAACGAAATCTTTGTGGTTGGTTACAAAAATGGATCAATTGCCGTCTACGTCCGTGTCACACTTGATTTGCTTCGTTTATATAACGCAACCGACGAACCAATAATTGGCATCAATACTAAAACACTGAGCCCGGCTGCCGAATTTCCGTGGAACGTCACAAGCGATTTTAATATAAGTGAAATTATATTTTTTGCCGTTAGCGACTATAGCATTTGTGGACTCGCCTATCATGAGAATAATGACGATCGCAATTTTACGTATCATCACACAAATCGTATTGCATCTACTCTTATGGAGACGCCGATTGGTGCAATATTTGTTGACACCATGGGAAATATCTATGAAATGACTCATCAATTTGGTGTCAGCTTTGATTTTATTCGGCGCATAACTCTCAATGAACCCGTGGAAAACTGTTGTTTTTTCTTCTGTGGTGACCAAACAGTACCTGATAATCGATGGCACATCTATTTATATATGACAAATGATCATTATGGTGCATTATTTCACGTCAGTCGCTTTAATCATAACAATATGGAAATTCAAATTTTGTGGAAACAAGAGTATCTGATTAATACTAATTATGGAATGATGTCAACATACACATCTCAATATATATACATCACAAAAGTAAGAACTTTCGATTCCATTCATTTACGACATTACGTGACTATGTTTGAAATCGATAAAATGCATTTGGCACCACCGGAACGTGACTTCTTAACTATTCGTGGAGGAACTATTGCCGACATAAACACATCTAATAGCTGTTTGGTTATCACTCAAACTGATGGTTTTGTGCAACTATTCTCATGTGAGTTGGATCTTATGATGTTGACAATTATTCAAACAAATGACGAGCCGGTAACTGCAATCACTTATCTACAATCACACCAATTTCATCTCTACCTGCTAGTCGGTTATCGTAATGGAAACCTCACACTTCGAAGAATTCCTCGTAGTGGCCGTACTTGCTGCTTCAGATGCCGACCTCTGTTTAAAGAAAAATTCCCTTATAATTATATACAACCCAATATGATAACTTATGTCTGTTCTCATAAAATTTAATAAAACAATACTAAATAAAATAATATTTAAAAATATATATATATATTAGAATAAAAAAAAATTAATAATAATAAATAAAATAAAATTAATTAATAAAAATATACTAATAAAATATACTTATAGAATGCGAGTCATACGTGTAAATGGCATTCCAACACCTGCATGGATATCACCAAAAGAGCTTGAATTAGATGAATTCCGATATATAAGAAACAACAGGCAACGTCAACTAAATGTCTTTAAATTTAATCCTTTGAATATTGTCAAACGTTTATGTGAAGCATATAATATTACTTATACATCAACTAAGATTGAAAAACGTAGGAAGAAATATTACAACATAACAATAACCGCACTCGATATCACTGTAACCGGGATAGGACAAAGCAATAGAGAAGCCAAAACCAATGCCGCATTCAGAGTCCATCGAGAATATTATCACAAAATTTATTATATTTAAAGATTCCCATACCCATGAATTTAATATTAAATAAAAATGATTTATTGAAAAAGTTATTTATCTAATTTATTTTATTTTTTATAATAGATGTTGAAACAAAAGTTTATTTTGTTTCTGTTAATTTTTAGTGAATTTACACAAATACAATCAAAAATTAATGATAAACCACAACTAATACCTTTGAAAAGATACAAAAGAGATAGTGGCGACGATTATTCTATGTATTTCAGGAAACAAAGCGATGAAAAACCAATAGAAATATTTACTAACAATACAAATGTTGTAAACTTTGCCAGTCATGGATTACATTTCACAAACAATGGAAAAGCATTAATTATAAATGACTATTTTACTCAGTTTATAAAATTTTCAACAAGTATGGATGAAAGTATATTTAATGATTTTCAAAATGAACTTGAAAATTTATGTAAAGAATCGGGTCTTAGATGGAATGACAATGGTATACCTCAGTATGATGCAAATACAAATGATATGTGTTTAAAAACCCAAACATTATACACTGATCAAATACAACACATTGAAACATTTTATAAAAAAAAACTAACGGCATTTATTGAAAAACATAGTAGAGGTAAACGAGAATTATTTACCGTTTTGATTAGTTCATTCATAGCCCTGGGTGTTAGTGTTGGTACAAGTTATTTTTTTAGCAATAAAAATAATGAAAATATTAAAAACAAAATAACTGCTTTGGAAGAACAGATGTTGCTTACAAACGAAAAATTTGTATATCTATCTAACTATTTAATGGGTTTGGCAAAACTAAACAATCAGAGATTTGATGCAGTTGATAACAAATTAAAATTAATAACAGAAACAACAAAGGATTCATTTGATAAAATGTCAACTTATTTAAATTCTGAAATTTATAAACTAAAGAAAGAGACACAAAAAGGATTCAATTTAATTGGAGACTATGTAAACGCCATGAAACTTCTAGATTACTATCAAACAATAGGATTTATAAAAATAGAAGAAATTCAGTTTTGGGATCAAATATTGATTCAATTATCATCTGGCCAGTTATCACGTGATCTGATCGATCTAAAACAATTAGATGAAATCATATCTAAAATACAAGCTGCAATTGGTGTGGATTATGATATTGGAATACCTAACAACCAAAGAGTTTTATTTTATAAATTAAAACTTGTCGAACATATTGTAATAAAAAAAGAAAATACATATGAAATATTTATAAAGTTAAAGGTACCAATAATTAGAAAAAATAACCAGAACATATATGACATAATGACACCAACAGCTCATCCATTTACCTGTGAAACCGATAGCTGTTTTATTTCCGGTTCTTCTGATAGTAGATTAATTTCTTTTGATTTACCAGCCAACTCATGGCTAGTTAATACTGTCACTGGTGAGGTCGTTGATGAATGTGACCTAAGCCATTTTTCAGTATATGAAACATCTCAAGCTAAGTTATTTTATACTTTTAAATCTACTGTTTTAAAAGCACCATCTGCTTGTACTTATGCTATACATCTCTGGAATAAAGATGAAATTATAAAAAATTGTCAATTTAAACAAAAACAAAGTTCGGAATATAAGGTAATTCAAGTCTCATCGCATCAATACGCAATACATAAAGGTATTGCTAAGGAATATTATGAGACATGTCCACAAACAAATAAAGCAATAAAACACTTATTAAGTGAATGGTGTACAATTATTTCAATACCAGCTGAATGTGAAGTTTTTGTTCCAGCAACGAAACAAAAATTATTTGGACCATTTAAAAGACCAGAAAACGATAATACATACCTGCAAACATATTCTTATGAATCAAATATAATAACACCTATTAGTAAATATTTAAAATCTATGCAATTAGATTTTAAATTAAACAATTTTGTATTAGACAATAAGAAATGGGAAAATCTTAGAGTAGAATTAAATAATGATCAATTGTCTAAAATTGCTAAGCAGACTATAGAGATGACTGAATTAATTCAAGTAAAATTAAAAGAACATGAAAGCAAAATAAAAAGATATTCATATGGCTCATCTTTTTGGAGTTTGTTTGCATTAGTAACTGATGTTCTTCAATTAACAACTACTTTATTAGTTATATTTGGTACTTTCACTTATACCAGAATGTTCGGCGTTATGGGTGTCGGTGTCATTGTAATACCGAGACCAGCACATGCATGGGCTATTAATTTAATCCCTGATGTAAAGATTTTTCCTGATGTAACTGTAGAAGTACTCGAAGATGTTCAGGCAATTTCATGGATATTAAAAATTGTAATGGTTATTATTTTTACAATATTGTTTATTTTATTCCTAACTACAAAATGTTTCCGTAAAGTTGTAATTAGTGTGCACTCCGGCGAAATAAGTTATAATCCAAATGAACACAATATAAAATTTTATTTAAGACTAACAATAATAAACAAAACTAGATATTTTGCACATAAAACAATTGAAAACATATACATCCGTATACCAATCAGTAATAAAGTTAAAAACAATTCTGTCTCACATATTATTGTTGATAGCACACCACAAATTATGTATACAATAAGAAAAGATAATCAAACACTTCTTTTAGGAATCAAAGAATTAAAATTAATTAGTGTCGATAATAAAGGAAAACGAATACGCGATAACTATCACGAATTGAAAGTACCCATAAAGAACATCAACTGGGACAGTGGACATAAATCACCAAAATCGTTGAAAATAATTAATAATTATGACAAAGCCTACCTACAAGTCATACCTTATCCAGCCGGTCCAAGTACACGTTCCAATTTAAGCAGTATTGCTGAAGATGAAACATTTAGTTTAGATACCTTTATATAAATGTTTTTCTATGAATCATGATTATAAATCAATACTGTACTACTATTTGAATTAAAAATTAAAATAAAATCATTAAAAAACAAATATTATCAAAGTTAAATTATTTATCAAAATGTTTAGTAAAAGCTATGACAGAAAATAAAGACAACAAATTGATTTACCCAAATCTAGAAGATATGGGGTCAAACAGTTATTTTGCTGGTTCTGTTGATGATATTGGTAGACATGATATACAATCACAAACTAAACCATTTCAATCTTCTACGCCATATCAAACACTGACGCGTGAAAATTATACCCGATTTCTAACCCCATTTATGCCATCATTGAAATTTGACGGCCGCTCAAACCCTAGAGCCTGGCTTCGCTATTTTAATCGGACGGCAGCCGCTTATTTATGGGAC